ACTTTATTCTCATAGATCCTGGTCACATTGAGGTTAAGAGCCCAAGTGGATTGAGTTCAGTGGTTTTAAGACTGTCCCCTTGAGGACAAAAAGTAGCAGAATGTGGCAGGTTCTTCACAAGGTGCTAAGTGGATGTTGTGAAAGACAGTGATAGACACTAATAGTTCAATATATGGAAATTCACAGTGGGTCTTATTGGGTAATTATTCTCATAGATCCTGGTCACATTGAGGTTAAGAGCCCAAGTGGATTGAGTTCAGTGGTTTTAAGACTGTCCCCTTGAGGACAAAAAGTAGCAGAATGTGGCAGGTTCTTCACAAGGTGCTAAGTGGATGTTGTGAAAGACAGTGATAGACACTAATAGTTCAATATATGGAAATTCACAGTGGGTCTTATTGGGTAATACTGGCTTGTGCATAAAGATGATTTCATTTCCAGTGTTTTGTCCTTTCATGTCTCAATTACTAAAACTCAATCACATCTTCAAATTAATTTCTGAGTATAATTTACTTATTGCATGAGTGCTATAATTCAGATATAAAGCTCCCTCATTATATAAAGAGCAAAACCCAAAGCTACTGTTAATGGTTGGTCTTAAACTTTCTGAATTTACGATAGTTTAAAAATAAGGCAGCGGGATCACGCTGGGTGTACGTAATTGCCTAAATTCACACTTTGTGAGAATAGCTGTGCCTTCTGTGGAAGTCTCTGCAATGCTTCATACTCAGTGGGCACATAAACAGAGGTGGTATTTGGTGAGAAAAATGGTTGTACTGGGTCACATAGCATAATTTACACCAATTCAGCAGTCAGTGGGAGTCTGAACAGTAACTGCAAGGAAGGAGCAGGGATGCAGCAATGTCCTTCTTCTTTGTCTCAGTTGTCTTCCCTCCCTGCTACTTCGCGCCCCCCCCCCCCCCCTGAGTGCAAAACTGGTACAAGTGATGCTACTTGGCCAATTATTTACCCCCATTCTCTGGCCATTTTCTAGCTGATATTTAATTTCCACCATTTAGGACAGGGGGTTCTCAAACTTCACTGCATCATGACCCTCTTCTGACAACAAACCTTGAGCCTGCCTCACCTCTGCTTCCCAGGATGGGGGAACCATAGCTTGAGCCCACCATCTCAGGTGAGGGTCAAAGCCAAACCCCAAGGACTGCAGCCTCATGAAAAGGACCTGAGCCCTGCCCTCCAGCTTCAGCTTCAGCCCTGGATGGTGGGGCTCTGCTTTGACCAGCCCAGGTTGATGTCACACACTAGCTCAAGTTGAGGTAACTTGCTAAAAATGAGCCCTATGGATGTGGTGGCTTGGGCTAGATATCAGAGTACAAGCCCTCTTGATTTCGCCCTGGAGCCATACTCAGGTGACTGTGACATAATGTCCACGCTGCTATATCAGCACCCTAGCTCCAGTGGAGGGCACTTGTTTCTGGCTACATGGGCAGGCTGAAGATGTACCCTGAGAGTGTGTCGACACTGCACTGTAAATAGAAATAAGATACTCAATTTGAGCTACGCAATCTTATTTTGAAATTGCTTATTCTGTAATTTGGTGCTGTCTATACAGCACCAACTTTCGAAATAACCCGCTATTCTGAAACGTACCTTGCTCCTTGTGGAATGAGGTTTACAAGGACATCAGAACAGCGAGCCTGTTATATATCGAAATAATGGGCTTGCTGTGAAGATGCAGGATAGCTATTTTGAGATATTCTGGTATTGTAGTGTAGACGTAGCCTTAGTAACTGTGTTTTAGTCCTCCCATATTATGTCATGGCACCTGAGAAAAGAAACAAATGGATTTTAAACTAATAATTATGTGAAGAGCCATTTCAACCTGGCACCTGGCAGCATACCCAGCACTGAGTGCTAAAATTACTAAACTTTAGTCAAATTGATTTACAGAGCATGTTAACTGTCACTGTAAAAGATTTTGTTATAGATTACCATGGCACCTAGGCTGCCACAGTGACCTGTCTTCTAGTTGTTCTATTATTGGCTTAATGCTAAAAGGATTTTTGGACATGGTAAAATATAGCGCTCTTAGGTTATGTCTACACTGCAAAAAGAAACTGGCTGCATGAAGTGTCCAAGCCTGGGCTGTTGGCTAGGACTCAGGGTGAGGGACTAAAAACAACAATCAAAATGCTGAGGCTCAGGTTAACATTGAGGCTTTGAGACCCTACACCCTTGCTGGGCTTCAGAGCCCCTATTCTAGCCACAGGCTGCTCAGCTACGCTGCTATTTTTAGCTCCACAGTCTGAGCCCAAGTCAGCGGACGCAGGCCAGTCACAGCTGTGCTGCAGCGCTTTCATGGCAACTTCAATATCGCCTGAGGTCTTCTGGCACTGCCAGGCTGTCAGGCTTATATGCAACAAGATAATATGTTAAAAAGTCAAAAGAAACCGTAGTTAAACGTGCTAAACAGCGTACTAGTCCCTTTTCGCTATTAATTAGGAATTGCCAGTCTGGATTAAAAGCAAGGTCCTTTCACCTCCTTTCCTGTCTCCAAAAACAGTCGTACCAGATGTGTGGAGGAAGGATGGGGGCAAGAACCCTGCATAAGGCACTGTGGGCTAATCTGCATGCACTTCAGGGTTCCCTCTAATAACTAATATGGTAGTTAGAGGTTGATTTGAGCCCTGAAGCAGGAGGTTTAATATGGTTACCAGTAATTATTCTATAATCAGGTAGCTCCTGTTACCTATATAAATAGCCAATGACCAGAACCTCAAAGGATTTAGGTTCCTCAATTCTCATTAGCTGCCTAACTCCCCCATTAGATACCATTGACATTTTTCAGAACTGCCATTTTGCTGGCATCTAAACCTGTGATTCCACCAATTAGTATTGACAAAACTACCTCAGCCCAGAGGCCACGCCCACAGCTAACATACAGCTTGGATCCCTAGCTCACGCCAAAGCCCAAATAGCCGTCTTGCCTGCTCCCACAGGCCTGCATTGAACATGCAGCTGGGGGTGGGTTAAGTGTGATCAGAAGCATGAGGAAGAGACAGAGAAGAGGGTAGTTTTGGCTGCTGGGACAACTAAAGAGATCGGGGTGGGGAACCTAAGGTTTGAGGGCTGGGAGTAGCTCTTGGCTTGCCTGGATCTAGCGGCTCCTGAGGCTCAGGTCACCTCATCAGCATTGTAAAACCTGCACTGGCACTCCAGTCTCTCTTGCGTCTCACCACGGGGCTGGAGCACACAAAAGCTGTTAGTCTGGGTGCTCCATGCGCTGGTGTGCAAGGGGAATGTGGAGAGTGTCACTCAGTCGTGGGCCACCTCAGTGACGGGTTTTTTGTTTTGTTTTGCTTCTCGTGTGTGTGCGGCTCCCCGACTGTAGCGTCCCCCAATCCAAAAAGGTTCCCCATCCCTGAAATAGATGATCTGGCTTAGGTGCCTCACACTGGCAAAGGGATCAGGGTGCTCCATGCGCTGGTGTGCAAGGGGAATGTGGAGAGTGTCACTCAGTCGTGGGCCACCTCAGTGACGGGTTTTTTGTTTTGTTTTGCTTCTCGTGTGTGTGCGGCTCCCCGACTGTAGCGTCCCCCAATCCAAAAAGGTTCCCCATCCCTGAAATAGATGATCTGGCTTAGGTGCCTCACACTGGCAAAGGGATCAGCGACATGCCTGGCTGAGGGCAGCAGCCAGGTGTCCAGGCCAGCCACTTATGTAGTTATGCCCATCTACACAGCTTTCTTCCGCGTGTCACCCCCTAGCTTGCTGATGTGGCTTCCTGGTCTCCCTGTGAGGAAATCCTGTGGTACTGGGACTGGTGCTCAAAGGGACTTAGGTGGGGCAAGTGACATCCTCAGGTCCAAGTGAGACATCCTGCTCCACCGCACACTACATGGGCACTGTTAGGAATGGCTACACAGCACCAGGGTGTCTGCCCACTGCACATGTAGCCAGACCTGTACCAACTGTACCTGAGTTGGCTTTGGGTGCAATAGCTGTGATGCCATGGCAACTCAGGCTACAACATGGGCTGTGTGCGTGTGTCCAGGCACCGGGGAGTTACAGGCCTAGCTAGCCCACCCTGACTTCTGTGCTGCCACCACTTTACTAAACAAGTGATGTACATACTTGTACAATCACACACATGCAAATTGCAGTGTAGCTGAACCCTAAGAAATGGGAGCCTCAAAAGCCAACAAGGTAGCCACCTATCCGGGCCTATAGGAAATGCTGAGGTTACGTGTGATGCACCCCCTGTGAAAGGTTTGTGCTTGCCTCTTCCAGTCAAGGGCTGCTGCCAGTTCTCTGCTCTCAGCTGGTCCCCTCTCATGGCCCTGGGAGAGGAATCTGAGGGCTCAATTGGAACCATGGGGGAAGGGGCTGAGAGCATGGTTGTTGCCTGGGTGGGCGGGGGAGGGCCAGGATCAAAAGCACAGCGTTGGCTGGGATCACAGGGGCACTCTCTGGCCTGTCGCTCCTCCCTCGCCCCATTCCACCACCTCCCCCCATGGCCACACAAGCTCTGTGATGCTGCAGCAGGGAGCAAGAACTCATCTGGCACTAGGGCAATGGTGGGAGGGGACTTTTTCCGAAGTGCACAGGGCCCCGAATCTGAGGGCCAGGATCAAAAGCACAGCGTTGGCTGGGATCACAGGGGCACTCTCTGGCCTGTCGCTCCTCCCTCGCCCCATTCCACCACCTCCCCCCATGGCCACACAAGCTCTGTGATGCTGCAGCAGGGAGCAAGAACTCATCTGGCACTAGGGCAATGGTGGGAGGGGACTTTTTCCGAAGTGCACAGGGCCCCGAATCTGTAAAATGCACTCACGCACGCACACGCACGCAGTAGGCTGGGCCAATAAGCAAGTGGCCTTCACTCCATGAGCCCCCTCCTGACGCTAGATGCCTAAGTCAGTCAGCCCTTTCGCAGTGTTTCCCTACGCCTAGGGCAGGGATAGGCAGCAAGCAGCCCGGACGCAGTTCGCCAGGGTTAGCCTTTGAGGGGGCTGCCAGACGCTC